TCTTGTCTAAAATGGTCTGGTTATGTCGTAGTTCTATTATTCCTGCCTTTTAAGTATAGGGAAAAGGGAGAAAGGGTGGAGGTCTCATTCTTCTGAAGCTACTTCCTGCTGGGGGTGGGCAGAGAGGAAAAATCAGGCCAAACAAAAACATTGCATTGGTTTCCTGGGGGGAAGCTATATTCTTCTGGGTCTCTGACCTGGAGAGACTGGTATCCTCCTCCTGCCAAGAAGAGTTCAGTGACCTTTTGGTTGGTGAATGTCTGCATGCATTCCTGTAAGAAATTAGAGAAACTCCAAAAGAGACAGGGACCAAAAAGTAGGATGAGTCCCAGCATAGTTAGGGGTCCTAGTAGGGGCATAAGCCAGGGTATCCGAGGGCTCAGTGAAATGGTTTAAGTTGTTTTGGATCACCCCAGACTCGTTTACATAATAACAGCATTCCTCCCCCAAGAAGAGGCAGGTGCCTTCCTTCTGGGCTGTAAGGAAGTCAAGGGCTTGACAGTTCTGTAAAGCGATTGTCGCAAGTGAGGTGACCTGTCACTGGAGGGAGGAGATACTAACTATACTTAGTTCTTCTGAGAGTTTTGATAGAATTGAGAGGCAGTAGCAGGGCCCGCTATGCCAGTCCCAGTTGCAGGAAGGATCCCTGCCCCAATTAAAAGGTACAATTAATGCCCTACCCCGCTATGCCAGTCCCAGTTGCAGGAAGGATCCCTGCCCCAATTAAAAGGTACAATTAGTGCTCTATGGGAGCAGGGGACACTTCCTGAGAGGGGGGGCTGAAGCTAGTCCCAGTCCTGTCTCCATCCATCCATCTGTCTGGACAGTGATGTCAGGGACAAGCCAAATGAATATGCAAGAAATCACATTAGGGGGCAGGCTACAGGATAATGTAGTTTTACAAAGGAAATATATTCCGGTTTTAGGGCATGGATGAGGAGGGGGTAAGTGAGTGGTAGCATTTGGTGTTAGTGAGGCCGAGTGTGCGCAGGCCCCACATAATGCTGACAGTCCCCACTGAGGTGAGGTTAGAGGAAAGTGAAGAGATGTTTGTGGAAACATTTTGGGCTGCATCAACAGGGAGGGGGGTGACCACAAAAAGTATCTTGCAAAGTGGGAGACAGATGAGTCACTTGGGGACCAGTCTGATTCATTGAGGACTGCATCATCCCTTCGGACCTGGAACCTCTATGTTCCAGGTAAGGGGGAGCACTGAGATAGGAAGAAACACATGAGAAGGATGAAAAGGGTTAGGGATCCAAAAGAATTTAAAGGGTACATTGCCACAATGAAATTGTTAAGGATCATCCTACTGACAGGAGGTAAAGGAGTACCAGGAGAAATCTTTCTATGTTACACTCCTTTGGGACAACATTGGCCAATCCTGTAGCAAGTAATAGAACAAATAGTATAATAAAAGTTAGTGACACGGGGTGGCATATACTTATCATGTCCCACGATGGCAAACCCACAATAGCAGGTCGGGACCAGTCTTGGAGTAGCTCTTGTGTGAAGGACATGGAGCGGGCCTGCAAGAGTGAGAGGATAATCGCCGGGGAAAAGATCATCCTTCTTTTGGGATTGAGGGAAGAGCGAAGGTCCTGGAGATTTTCAGTTTTGTGGGTCATAAAATGGACAAAGTGTAAGGAGATTTTGGTTTGGGTGTTGAGCAGATGGACCCCTCTCGCTTGGTGTTAACAGATTTTTTAGGTAAAGTCTCAGGTGCTAGTTTTACCAAGGAGAAGTGATACCAAGGGGCCTTTCTTAGTACTTTTACTGCCGTGGGGGTGGTGAGAAGTGCTGTATAAGGCCCTTCCCAACATGG